AGAGTATTTACAATTTATACAGATCACAAGCCCTTAATATTCGCCTTTCGTCAAAAACTTGACAAAGCAACACCTAGACATGCTCGCCAACTTCAATACATCTCCCAGGTTTCGACTGATATCAAATATTTAAAAGGTGAGAATAATATTGTGGCGGATACGTTATCTAGAGTTAATGAAATTTCATCGATAGATTATGATAAAATAGCTGATGAACAAACTCAAGATGAAGAACTGAAGAGTTTGCAAACCACTACTTCCTTGAATTTCAAGCAATGTTCTCTACCATCGGGGAAATATTTGTGGTGTGATACATCAACTAAACATATTCGGCCGTATATTCCTCAAGCTTTCAGAAAAACACGTCTTTCAGCGAATTCATGGTTATCACATCCAGGAATAAAATCGACTATGAAATTAATGACATCAAAATTCATTTGGCCTAAAATAAAAAAAGATGTACAGTTGTGGACAAGAACCTGCATTCATTGCCAAAAAGCTAAAATCAATCGGCATACCAAAAAAAAAACAAAATTAGGTGAGTTTGAAGTATCACCAGGAAGATTTTCTGTCATCCATATTGATCTCATAGGAACCACTTCCCCCATCTAAAGGGAATATTTATTGTCTTACTTGCATAGATACATTTTCGAATTGGATGGAAGCAATTCCTTTAGAAAATATTTCAGCTGAGAATGTCGCAAGAGCATTTTATAGCAACTGGATTGCGCGTTTCGGAACGCCAAGTAAACTCATTAGTGATCGTGGATCCCAATTTAAAAGTGATACATTACGAGCTTTGTCCAAAATCTGTGGCATCAATTTACAACACAATCAATTTACAACAAACTACTGCCTACCACTCCTCGTGTAATGGCAAAGTTGAGCGCCTTCATCGAACATTAAAAACAGCATTAAAAGCCCACAACAACATATCTTGGACGGACACATTACCAACAGTCCTTTTCGGTGTGCGTACTGCTATTCGAGAAGATACAAATCATTCTATTGCGCAAGTAGTTTATGGCCAGAGTCTCAGACTTCCTGGAGAGTTTTTCAGAGTGTGTGTGTGTGTAATTATGGCAAAGCCTCGAGGGCTATCTGCCTAAGGGGAGGGATGCCTTCGTAGAGGACTTTCTAAGGGAAACTGGCTCGTATACACGTTACACATGGGGAAAACCACGAAAACGCCCATGCAGCCAGCCCGTTCGCGGGATTCGAACCTCCAGTGTTCTACCAGTGTTCAGCGACTTTACTGCTCGGCCGCTGGTGGAGAGTTTTTCAGCGAACCAAGTAGCTAGATAGCATCGGAAACTTTTGCTAATAACCTCCAGAAACAGATGGAAGTTGTTGGACCTAGACTAATTCGTAAAAATTCATCTGAACGGATATTTGTACATAAAGACTTAAAAACTTGTTCTCATGTGTTTCAGCGAATAGATCGGGTAAAAAAACTTCTGGAACCTCTTTATGAAGGACCATTTCCTGTTATTGTTCGCAAGGACAAATATTTTACTATTAGCATAAAAGGAAAACATGTTAATGTTTCGCTTGAAACCAGCATATATTTTAGCCGAGGAAAATTCCCAGTTGATACAACCTGACTACAGTTACTTGCAGAGACCAGACTCAAATTCCGATGTGAATCAAAAACATTCTCGCACAGGCAGAACTATATGTTTACCTGTTAGATTCAAGGACTGACTAAATTATTCTGATATTGGTTAACACTGCAATACTAGTTACTACCTATTTCTCCATCTTCGTAACGTAACTTAGTTACTGGTGGGGGAGTAGTGTAGTGGCCCAGTTATAGCATGAGAAATAATTATTTTTTATTTCATATATTTATTCATGTGTTTAATTATTTTATAAAATTAACTTTAATATTTTGTTAATATTCATATTTATATTTCTTTTATGCTGAATTTCAATAAGTAGTTCATATATAGTATATATTTAAATTTCTTTATGCTGAATGGCCACTAGTTTTGATTCATGGTTGCTAGGTTTTGGTTTCAAAACGTTGCTCGTAGCGTCGCATTTCGATAGCTGGAAAATAAAATGCAATAAACTTAGCTATTTGTTTATAATTCATGCTGTTCCTAATCATAAATTAATTTTAAACATTAGTAGCCAAGGCCACAATAGAACGATTTGAGGCTTTTTTGGACATTCAAAATGTTCCAGAGGCAAAACGTGGGAAAGTTCTGATCTCAAGCTTGAATGCGAAATTGTATAATTTGTTGAAAAATTTACTCTCTCCGGATAATCCTTCGGATAAAAATTTTACCGAACTAAAAAAGGTTCTTAAGGATCATTTAAATCCTAAAGCTTTAATAATACCTAGTCGGCACATGCTTATTAATAGAAAACAGCATGAGGAGGAAACAATTAGTAGTTATGTTACTGAATTAAGCTCGTTAGCGATTCCTTGTGAATATAAAGAGGATATGCTAAATACAATGTTAAGGGATGTTTTCGTTAGCGGTCTACGAGATCGTAATATCTTAGATCGATTATTTCAGGAAGATGATATCGATTTAGAGAAAACATTAAAAATAGCCTTGGCGATGGAAAAGGCGGTTAAGGTTGCAAACAAGGAGGTTAGAATAGATGGAGTAAGCATGACGTAACAAAATTGAAGCCGAAGAAATGTCAGAAACGTGACGTCACGACTGATGACCATGGCCGCTGTGTAGCGTGGGGATAAGACGAAAGTGTTGTTTATATTTGCATTGAAACTGCTTGGCCGCTTTGTAGCGTGGGGATAAGACGAAAGTTTTGTTTATATTTGCATTGAAACTGCTCAGCGAAATAAAATGGGTCAGTGCACTGCTCCAAAATGCAACAATCATTCCGGCTATTCACCATCTAATGTTATATTTCATAGGTAAATGCCATAAACTGATTATTTTACTATTTCTGCATATTCTTGAAATTCAAAATTTTGAAGGAAAAATATGCATCTGGAATACATACCAGATGATTTAGATAATGATAGTTTTTATGACAATAAAGATTGCTAGTTCATTGTCTGAAGATGATCAGCAGCGTACTAAAAGTTTCGAAGTAACAATTTGACATACATGCAGCTTTTCCCAAATACAGTTTTATGTAATTAAGATACATATTTGCAACCACATTTTATAATTAAAAAATATGTTTCATAATTTACTTCATTAATAATACATTTTAATGTTTACATTATGAATTTCATAGCTTTATTTAATAAAGATTCCATAGTTGCAAATTTAAAGATTGAAAGAGAACTTATTATTTTATATTTAAATTTCTTCCTTTGATTTACATAATGATAGTTTTTATGACAATAAAGATTGCTAGTTCATAGTCTAAATAACATGATTCATATAATATAATGCAAAGTCAATATATTAAGTAATTTAAAAATGAAAATCCATCTGCTGTGTTGTATGATTAGAGAAAAAAATATTTTTGGAGCTTCAGAATCAAAAATAATAACTGCAAAGTATTCTATCAATTTTAAAGTCTATACTAAATATATACTACAGTTTTAAAGTATAAAGCTCAGTGAAATTTAAAAATAAAGCTTAACTTACAGAAATAGGAATGAATTGAATTACGGTGATCATTGTCTTGCGATCTAACACGATCCATCTTTATATTTGATAAATTCTTCGAAGCTTCGACACAGTAAAAGATTACAATACGAAGCTGATAGAATTCCCGGCGGCACGCGGTTTGTTTATTTGAAGTCCGGTCCTATACAGTCGTGACGTCACATCGTGACGTTTCTGCTTATTTCATTGCATGGATAACGAGAAGCTTACTCATGTATTCAACTCCTTGGGGCAAATGAGATTATAGGAAATTCCGTAGAACTGAAGGTACTTAAAACCAAGAAAAATGAGTCCAAACCGCGGAAACAAAACTTTGTTGCTAAGAATAATAAAGGTAAAAATGAAACTTGTTCGCGTTGCTTAGGAGCAAATCACAATAAAAACAACTGTAGATTTGCAACAAGTGAATGCCGCTTTTGTAAAAAAAATTGGACATATCGAAAAGGCGTGTTATTTGTCTAGGAAAAACCGACAGGTTAAACAAAAGAAAGTTGAGGCAAATAATGATTATGATTCGAAAAATGAGGTCCCCATCTATGGATTTAAGCTCCAGAACGCACATGTTAAGAGAGGAAGAGCCAAAAAGACCGCCAATAATGGTTCAAGTTAAAATTGAAAACAAACCAGTTAGCATGGAACTTGATACTGGGGGAACAGTTTCGGTAATGTCTATAAATAAATTTAGAAAAATTTCCAATAAAAAGATTCAGCCTACAAATTTAGTTTTTAAAACTTACAGGGGTGATAAGGTGGTACCTTTAGGATATGTTCCTGTTAAAGTTGAATACCAAGGTCAAAAATTAGTTTTAAATTCTATACATTGTGAAGGAAAATTTGGACACAATCTTCGGCCGAGAATGGCTGTATAAAATCAATCTCGATTGGAATGCCATCAAAACATTGAAAACTTCTAGTGAATTGAATTTAAAAAAATTGCTTGAGGAGTATAAGGAAATTTTTGACGGTAAATTAGGTGAAATTAACAATCACGAAGTAAAACTAAATTTGAAACCTAATACTCAACCAATATTTTGTAGGTCACGACCGGTACCTTTCGCATTAAAAAATAGAGTTGAATCAGAAATTGATCGGCTTGAGAAAGAAGGTATCATTGAGAGGGTTGAGACTTCAGAATGGGCAACACCAGTTGTGCCAATTGTTAAATCTGATGGTTCCATTAGGCTTTGTGCTGATTATTCTGTGACTCTGAATCCTAATTTGGAAGTGCCACAGCATCCATTACCAAAACTCGAAGAAATATTTTCATGCCTTAATGGAGGTAAAAATTTTTCGAAACTTGATTTCAGTCATGCTTATCTACAAATGAAGGTGCATCCGGAGAGCCAACGATTATTAACAATAAACACGCATAAGGGGTTGTATATTTGTAAACGCTTAATGTATGGATTAAATGCTGCCCCAGCTATTTGGCAGCGCTATGTTGAGGGATTATTTCAGGGGATCGAAGGAATTAAAATTTTTATGGATGATGCTCGAGTGACAGGACCGGATGATCAGTCTCATTTAAAAGCATTGGAAATATTTTTCAAAAAATGCAAGGAGCACGGCCTAAAATTAAACTTAACTAAAAGTAAATTTTTTCAAAATGAGATTAAATTTTTAGGGCATAAAATTGATGCCGATGGATTGCATAAAACGGATGAAAAGATTTCGGCAATTGCTAATGCCCCTACGCCGAAAGGCGTCCAAGACATCAAAAGCTTTTTGGGATTAGTGAATTTTTATGCCAAATTTTGCCCTAATTTGGCAACTTTGGCACATCCCTTAAATAATTTAACAAAAAAAGATGTTAAATGGAGTTGGTCAAAAAACTGCCAAATCGCTTTTGAAAAAAATTAAAAAGGAAATTTGTTCAGACAGAGTTTTAATGCATTACGATCCCACATTACCGTTAATGCTAGCTACTGATGCATCTCCGGTAGGTCTTGGGGCAGTGCTCTCGCATGTTTTGTCTGATGGAACAGAAAGGCCTATAGCATTCGCATCGAGGACACTGACTAACACAGAGCAGAAATACGCCCAAATCGATAAAGAAGCACTGTCAATTGTTTGGGCTGTCAAAACGTTTTATCTATATCTAAAGGGGAGACGCGTTTTTTTTTTTTTTTGGTGACACATCATAAACCTTTAGTGGCTACTTTCAAATCGAAAAGAGGACTTCCTATCCTCACAGCCATCCGACTCTTACATTATACACTGATATTGCAAGTATATCAGTTTGATATTGTGTATCGAAATACCAAGGAACACGGTAATGCTGACTACCTGTCGCGCCTACCTCTTAAGTCCGAAGATTTAAGCATTAAGGATGATGTTGAAATATTCCAACTCTCCCAAATTGAAACTCTTCCGGTAACAGCTAGGGAGATAGCTCGGGAAACGCGAGCTGATGAAGAATTAAATAGTCTTTATATGAAATTAAAATCTGGAGAAAGTTTGGAAGGTAGGGAAGCAGAGTACACCTTACAAGATGACTGTATAATGAGTGGTCAGAGGGTAGTTGTTCCGAAAAAACTCCGAGTTAAAATTCTCGAAGAGTTACACCAAGGACATTTAGGAATCGTTAAAATGAAGGCAATCGCCAGATCCTACGTCTTTTGGAAGGGAATTGATCATGATATTGAAGAAGTTTCTAGGAACTGTGTCGATTGTATTAAGTTCAAATCAGATCCAGTAAGGGCAAGGGTCCATCACTGGGAATATCCAAGTGCGCCTTGGGAACGCATTCACGTAGATTTTGCAGGCCCTATTTTTGAACGAATGTTCTTGATTATCATTGACGCACATTCTAAATGGCTAGAAGTGTATACCTTAAAGTCAACAAATTCCTTTCAGACAATTGAATGTTTGAGAGACTGTTTTGCAAGATACGGACTGCCTTTAGTAGTAGTGAGTGACAATGGTCCTCAGTTCACATCGGGGGAATTTGAAACTTTTATAAGGAATAATGGAATTAAACACAAAACGTGTGCTCCATTTAAACCACCGGCAAGTAACGGGCAAGCAGAGCGGTACGTTTACACCGTTAAACAAGCATTACGTGCAATGCAAGGTTATCCAGGAAATATTAAGCAAAAACTTGCCATATTCCTCATGAATTATAGAAAGGCACCGAACATGACAACCTTGTTAAGTCCAGCAATGTTATTCTTAAAAAGAGAAATTAGAACTCGAATTGATTTAGTTGTTCCAAATCTTAAACGAAGAGTGGAAGAACGCATCCGAAGGAATACTTATGATTTCAAAGACAGAAATTTTGAGATCGGAGAAAAGGTTGCCATTCGGGATTATAGATCGGCAAATTCCCGATGGAAAATTGGCAGAGTGACAAACAAGGATGGAGCGCTGCATTATACCATTGACGTTCAAGGAACTTTACTGCGCCGGCACGTCGATCAGATCAGATCGGTAGGGAGCGAGGTTCCGTCTGCACCGGTAATCTATGAACCTCGTATGGCTGCTACTTCAGATGGCAACGTGAAGCCACAGGCTCCGGACAAGGACATCGAACAAAGAAGTGAAGCTTGTGCAAACTTCAGCCGGACTTGAAACATCGTCAGTTCCAAGGAAAACTGAGCCAGTCATTCCAGTGGATCCTGATAAAGAGTTGCAGCAACCTCAGCCAGGACTTAGACGATCTTCGCGCATCCGCAAAGCTCCTCAGAGATTAAATCTCTAAATAAGTGGGGAGGGATGTAGCATCTGATTTCGAGAGTATCAGTACTCTTATACCCGAGAACCTCTGTGAACGAGAGTAGAGTAGAATGTAATGTAACTGCGTAAATAGCGCATCGCTGCTGTCTTATGAGTTAGTTAGAAATAAATGTTTGTGCCGTGAACTAGTCTGTTTTGGTTGCGTCATGCACTTCACTGAACCCACATCGCTAGACACAACAACGGTATTCTTTATTCAGGCGAAGATAAGCCCAACATCTTTGCTAAAATACTAGAAGAAACGTTTACTTCCACAACTACTCCTTACGACAGCAATCATATCTCCAAAGTTAAATATATTGTTAATACCTTTGAATTTTACATTCCTCGCCACGCCTAAATTGGTGCCAATTATATCAGCTTCTTAAAACCCAAAAAAAGTCTGAAAGTCTGGGTGTTGATGGTATCTTAACCAAAGTGCTGAAACATATTCCTATCAATACTATAGCAAGTTTGCTAAGATAATCAACTCTATTATCAAGTTTTCATATTTTCCTAATATATGGAAACAAGCCGTCATCGTCGTCTTCCCAAAACCTCCTCAAAATTCCACGTTTCCACAAAACTACCTTCCTATAAGCCTTCTCAGTCAATTTTCTAAAATAGTTGAAAATATTATTGTATATATCTACTAGATCAAATTATTCCACAGAGCACTTCCATTCCAGAAGAACAGTTTGGCTTCCGTCAAATCATCAGCTGCTTCGTGTCATCAACTATATTACTGGCTGTTTCAATTCTAAATTCTTTACAAGGCATAATCATTGACATTTCGAAAGCTTTTGATAGGGTAGGTCACTAGGGACTTATTTACAAACTTCAGATCATGGCATTAGACTTTTATTGCTTCTTATCTTAAAGACAAAAGCTTTGTAGTGAAAATTAACAATACTGTTTCTACCACGAGAAATATCTTTGTTGGAGTGCCCCAGGGGTCAGTACTTTCGCCATAGTTGTATAACATTTACATATACGATATTTTTAAAGACCTACAAATTACCATAGCTCTTTTCTCAGATGATACAGCTATTACGACCCAAGCTTCATCAGTTGCAGTTGTCCGGCTCCTTCTTCAACATTAGCTCACCTTCTAGAAAATTAGCTCACTCTTTGGAGGATTGCAGTTAATACTGAAAAATCAAAAGTAACAATTTTTCGTAAAGGTCCAACAAATTTCACGCCACCAAGACTAGTTCTGTTTGATGAAGAAATTGACTGCGTTGACGAAGTTAAACATCAAGGTGTCATTCTAGATAAAAAAAAATGACTTTTCAGAAACATATCAGGGAAACTATGCAAAACGTTAACATCTCGTTTTGAACTATGCGCCCACTTCTTTACAGAAGAAGTCATATGGTCACTCAACGACATCGGACATCGCTGGTGGTTCTTGAGGCTCTAGTTAACGCCGTGCTCAGAGGTCTTTAACCAGAAATAGAAGATTAAGCGCTTTTGCGCAAATTAGATTAGTATCTAAGTTAAACAAACATGAAAATGTTATTTGCTATATGAGAAATGCGAAATAAAGTTGAAACTTAATAAACATAGATAAAGTAGATTATATATCAAGAAATTGTATCTTGCGATGAGGACTGGAAAATTATTTGCCAAGTATAAATGCGCTAGCACTAAAATAATAAAAATGCGTTGCAAGTAATAATATAGGTTGAAGTAAGGAACAACAAAGTCCTATTCCCGTTTTGTCTAGGCAAGTCCATTTCTTTGCAAATTATATGAAATTTGAATACATACTAAATGAAAATGCAAAAAGATTTAGAGAATTCAGAACAAAAGTCCTAATGCTTTTCCAGTTAAATCATAGTCTTTAGTCTAATATATGTTGCTTTGATGAGATGCCCACTCAAATAAACTCATATATTAATCTATACTTCGACCAGTATTACTCAATGCTAGTTCTGTCTGGAGCCACGCTGCCTAAACCCCCCTTTAACACATCCAATTTCTTCAAAACAAAGCACTTATAGAGATTATCAACGCCCCTTAGTTCATTCCAAATTCGCAAATTCGTATATTCGCCGAGTAAAAAGGTGTTCCTACATCTTGACACTCGAGAATAAAATACAGTCTTCTCTCAGAAACTCACCTTCTTCGTCGATTGATGGTGGCCACATGACTTAATATTTTCGGCATATTTTGTCCACAGTACTCATTTTGTTTTACTCATAATCTTCCCCAGATGCAGAATAAAAGAAAGCACACAGCTTTCCAAAACTCTAATTCACTATATGTTCTTAGTAGCTAGGTACAATTTTCTGTACACATTCCGCGTTTGTCTATACATAATTGTGCAAACCCCTCCAACAGAAAAGAGAATGTCATAATAAGTGACATTATCCGGCATCCTACTACAAAAGATATAACGTTTACATATTTTCTTTTGAATAAAAGCAAACTTTTCTTATTAATGTCAAGAACAGAAAATTTACATTCATGCTTATGTTACCGCTTTTCTCAATATTTATATATTTCTAGATTCGGAAAATCATTCACTTGTAGTCGAACATTTACTATAAATTTCATTGCAAATACCTATCGTACAGAGTTTGCTGTCTGCAAGACACATGAATTTATCTTTTGCGGAATATATTTCAATAATAATTTAGCACAAATACTACGCAATAAATTACTGAAATAATTTTAATATGTGTAAAAATGCAAATGTTAATATATTTAAAAACAAGATTTATTAGGATACGTTATTATTATTATTATTTATGCATTAACATTTAATGTATTTTGAAAATAAAATTGATTGGGAGACTTTATTATTATTATTCGGGGAACAAATTATTTCTCAAGTTTTCTTTTTGCGCTTTTAACAAATAGCGGAAGAAATTTTAATGTTGCATTTCTATTGGTTGAAACTTTTCTGCGCATCTTTTAATCTTTTGTGGCACGAAAATGTTTTGAAGGCATGTGTCGCTTGAATTTGCAAACATTTTATCTTAAAACTCTGCTGTTAATATGCTTGCTAGTGGAAATATCGTTAGTAAAAATTTCTTATTCAGTGCACATGAAAAAACGAAAAGAATTCCAGACGATACCTCTAGAACAAAATTGAATTTTCATTCTTTTATTGCACACTTAAAATCAAAATTTGGTGTAATATCCGAGTTTCAGTTGGATCAAAATAATTCTCCAAAATGCATTTATCTGCAGGATTCTTATATGAAAGATGTGTTTAACTTTTATCCCGATCGTATATGTTTAGACGTTAGCCATAGAATATTGGATGGTAGTATATTTCTGTATTTATTTCTATGTGAGGATCCGAATGGCTGTATTTATACAATTTCTGTGGGTTTGCTATTTACTGATGATGCTGATTCACTGATGTGGTTATTGAATACATTTAAAAGGCACAATCCAAACTGGAGACGCACAAAAATCATTTTAGCAGATCCAGAAATTAAAGCAAGGGATATAATAAGGAATAGTTTTCCGAATCCGTTTGTTATAATATGTTCATACCATGCTTTTCGTTCATTTAAGAATGGTATAGAGAATGGGAGAATTGTTGATAATCTGTCAAGTGAACAGAAAAAGTTTACTTTAGATTTATTTAGAAGCATGTACCTGGCTCATACTCAGGCTGAATATGAAGTATATTACCAGCAGTTTCTTCTGCTACATAGTTCACTTGTTTCCTACTTTCAAGAATTTTGGTTACCAATTCAGTATCAATGGAGAACTGGCCTTGATTATTATCATGAAGATATATTTTATGCCTTTACTTCCTATTTAGAATATCTCGATAGTAATATAAAACCTGTTTACATGGCAGACAGTAACATAATGGATTTCTTAAAGAAATTGTTTCTCATCTTGTTATTGAAAAGAAAGGAAAAGTCTTCAGTGTTGACGTTTTCTAACCCTGTATTATATTCTCGATTTTCTCCTGAGTATCAGATTTCTCGAGTACTTACTCCTTTTGCTTCTAAATTTGTTATTAATCAACTAGATCTCTCGTATGAAATTAATGTGGATTGTAGTATTCTATCAGAGAGCTATTTCTTCGATAATTTTGGTTCTTCTGTAAGTGCTTCTGCATCAGTCTGTTCATGTCAGTTTTTTTTACTAACATTTCTGCCTTGTCGTCATATATTTGCCGTAAGAAAAATGCTTTCTTTATTCTTATTTGAGGAAGGATTATGTGACTTTTCATGGAATATGAAATATTATCAAAACAGTATAAGTTCTGTTCATGACTATTTTAACCAAAATGACTACAGTTTACCTTGTGATTCAGGTGCAAAACGCACTTTTGTCTCTGATTTGCTTGAAAATACAATGTCATTAATTCTTGAAACATCGCAGTCCGTATTTGAATCACATTTTCAGTTACTTAAGCAATTGGTACTTTTATGGAAAAATGATAAAGATGTATATCTTGAATTTGTAGGAATAGAAAAGAATACTCCAAATCAAAATCCCTCTGATTTATCTACAATTACTTCTGATAAAGCAAAACAGTCACTTGAATCTTGTAAATCAGAAAGCATTAGTTCCTCAAGTGATCATAATGTATCACTGGAAAGTCACAGTATAATTCCTGAATGTAAGTTGATTTTTGTATCCTTGATTTTGATCTTTCTCTCTCTTTTTCCTTTTTCTTCCCAATCATATAAGTTTAACATCACTTATTTTATTTAAAATTCTTAAGCTATGCTTATAAACTTCTGTAAATATGTTAGAATCTAACAATAATTTCATTTTTTATCTTCTGTATTAATTCGTTGAACATATGAAAAATAAACAGTATTACCCAACCAGAGTCATATCTAGGGTTTTTAGCGCCCTGGGGCAACTGAAGATTTCGTGCCCCCTACTGCTTGCCAAGGATAGAAAACATTTAATTCTAAAATGTCGTAACATCGATTTGGCGCCCCTTGGATTCTGTGCCTGGGGGCAGATGTCCCCCCCTTGCCCCCTCTAGCTACACCCCTGTACCCAATAGTGATCCTAAATTGGGGTTTAAAGTAACCAATATTAGGAGTTTATAGGCATTTGTTGAAAAATATTTGATATCTGCATATTTAGATTAAATGCATGGCATATGGTACAGTCTAGTTCTAATTTCATGTTTTAGTTATATTAACAGTTTATTAAATATAAATGGCACACTGATATTTTCTTGATTTAGGAGTTTCTTTCTGTTTTGGCATAACTTTCCACATAAACTTTACTGTTAAAGTTTTCTCTTTTGCCTGCTGTTTTATTTACAGATATTATTTTCTGTCGTGCTTTCTTAAAAAAAGGTGCTTTCTGATTATTCACCTAATCTAAAAAAATTCACTAGGCAACAGTTATGTTGCCAAATTAATTTTATTACTTTAGGATTATAATTAAATAGTCATTTGGGGATGGAATTCATTAGACTGAAAATAGTCTTCGCTTTAAATTTATCCAAATAATATTTTGAACTGGCTGTATGCAAATTCTGAAGCCTATAACTGTTTTTCTACAGCAAGAGTTCTGTAAGTTTCTGTGAATAAGAGCACCCTTTTGAAAAAAATTGTTTCATGAGAGTCTGCATCACATTTAATCTATTAAAATCAGAAATCTTTTTCTGAACTAAGATTTCATTTTTAGTTACGTACAAATTGAAATATGTTATTCATCAGTTTGTGTATAATACATAAACATGACCTCAAACTTTAAAATTTAGTATCTCAGTCAACTTTTGTCATACAGGTATCAAACTTTTTTATTTTATTTTTTAGGATGAGTATAAAATTTAATTTAAATATACAGTAGCCCCTCCAAGTTACATAACTAATGCATTCAATAAACATAATACATAATAAACATATAATAACATAATAAACATATAACCTTTAATTTTATGCACATTGAATTTGTAAATTGCTTAAGTGTCTTTTCTTTATAAACTGTGCCAACTAGAGGCCGAGTGGTAAAGTTGTCGAACTCTGGTATTTGGTCTGAGGTTTGAATCCCGCAAACGGCCTGGCTACATGGGCATTTTCTCCATGTGTAATGAAAGCAGCTAGTTTCTTTTAGAAAGTCCTTCACAAAGGCATCCCTTCTCTTAGGGAGATAGCTGTCAAGTGCTTTGCCCTAATCAAATAAACCAAACCTTAAAAACTGCAGTATGTATTATTATTATGTGTATGTATATGTGTGTATAACATTATATATATATATACATATACTGCTGGCCATCCACAATGCAACATGAAGGACTAGAGATATCGGTTTAATCCTAGTATCCCGTGCACACGGGATTTGGCTACTTTTGGCGACTTTATGACGAGCAGTAAAAACGTGACATATACGATGAGTAGTACACAGGTCATTCAAAGAATATATATGGTTATACATAGTATATACTATATATATAGTGTATATACACACACATAGTATATAGAGTACAGTATATATATAGACGTTCCTTGGATCATTTTTGGTGTTAGCGATAATTTTCAAAATCGCGCCAAGGCTGCACCGTATACTAGGATTTTACTGAGATATCTAGACAAGAGATGCTGTGCCATCATCATATATTAATTTTAAAAGACACTTTATTTATACAAAAAACATCGGTTGGATCCTAGCAGAGCCCTTGGCGCGAATGATTTTGGTTATGGCACATATCAGTGTGTACATGGATAAAGTCAAGGGAGTTGTGCAATTCTCCGATTTTTTTTTTGCTAAAGTGCAGAATCGCCCTCTTATTTGATTGTCGTTTGTTTGGCGCTTTTTACAAGAGTAAGAAGAATTGGATTTTTGTCAATTTTCTTTGACTATGGATACAGAGTATGTGCAATTCTTAAAAATGGGCCAAGCAGTGGGCGATTCTGCACTTTCCCCCTTTTTTTCAAGTGAAAATAGGTTGATGTGTACATGGATACTGAGTTTGTGCAATTCTTTGACTTGTTATTTTTCAAGTTGGCTTTGAGAAACGTGCGAAGCACTTTCTCAGTTTGTCGCCAAGGCTGTGGGCTCTCCTAGGAATTTACCAAAACATCCTCTGTGTACATAAACGTGCACACCTCCACGACCGATTTTCATAGACTTATTCCTGGTTCCACTTACTTGGCATGCGTCAGTTCTGCATTTGATTACGATTAAGTCCTGTAATCTCGATACACCGCAACAGATATAAGCCAATTTTTTTCAGCGATTACATATAGTATAAATACTAATTGATTTGAAATACAGCCTTCTTTGAGTTGAAGATGATGAGAAAATCAGTAATGAGTGTTGCTCCACGTTTTTCAATAATTGCTGCTATATGCCATGGAATTGATTGAAAGATGCTTTGGCTGTTTTGTTAGGGAATGGCAGCCCATGCTACGTCCACATGTAGCCAAAGCTCATCTGGTATTGCTGCAGTTGTGGTACTCTGGGTTAGGCATTCACTAATCATTGACCAGACATGTTTGATGAGCGATAGTTCTGGAGAATGAGCAGGTCAGGGTATCAGTGTCATTATGGTGGGCTAAGAAGAAAAGTGTAAATGTTACATGCAATTTGTGGTCATGCATTATCCTGTTGAAATGTAGGTGTTGACAAGTTCTGAAGGTAAGAAAGAACAGGATGCAAAACCTCAGAGTTGGCTGGTAAGTGTACCAATAAATGCATACTAAGGGGGTGCGAGAAGGCATCCAGTACTACCTCACACTATAATACCTGGTGCAGGGCCAGTATCATGATGCATAACAGTCGAACAGCCCGTCTCCACATTATCTCCAAACTCTAATCCAACCATCGTGGTAGTGCAGGCAGAAGCATGATCATTAAAAAACACGTCATGCCATTTAATGTCCATCTTTGCTATTCAGTGCACCATTGCAAACGCAAACACTTGTGGTTTGAAGTTAAAGGTAAGCGAAGCAGTGGATGCTTAGCAGACCTGTATGCATTGTGATATGATTGCAGATGTGGCTGTATGCTTCATCAGTGTCATATGCACAATATACCTGTCTTCAGGGCTTAATTTCTCAGATTAGAAGTGCCGGAGCCCTATGGAAGACCGTCAACAGAGAGGAACTAGAGTAAATAAATAAATAAAATGACTATTAAACTCATTAATAATTTTAAAATTAAATAGTTAATTATTATCAAATTAATTAATAGATATTTAATTAATGTTTATAAATTGTTATTTAATCATTTATTATATAATTAATTATAATTTAATTGACAATTATTAGATAATTAATTATTATGTATTGAAATAATTTAAGATTGAAGTAATTAAAATTAAATAAAATGTAAAGAGATAAATTGAAATTTAATAAGCGATTTTTAATATAATTGTTAAAATAAAATTTTCGAGATAAAATTTCTACTGAAATTTTTATTTAATTACATGAAAGAAATGCTGCAGAACGTCTTATTCAGGGTTCCGGCTAGAATTGTGATTTATTACAAAAACTAAGAAGCACCGGAGGCGATATCTGGTGGGCTCCAGCCCAATTTAAGCTCTGATCGTAGGGGGGGGGAGTTCTTTTATCATCACAAAAATTACTAGAGCTGATGAAATTTCCAGGGCGAAACAGAATGAGCGAATGAGTGGGTGGAAACAAAAAATGAGGGGAATCTTGGTGAGAGAGAACGTTCTCTTTGACCTCGGCTCTCTGCTGATATAATTATAGCCATCAGGCAGATGTGTCTCAAGGGTAAAATAAGTCCTGAATCTGACTCCTGAGGATGAATGTAAAGTTGCTGGTTATGCTCCCCCCCATTAGTGGATACTATGGGAAGACGATGTATAGGACGTGCCTTAGCAGTATATCTCAGTATTTCACTCTTAATGTACTTGCTGTCACTTAACGCACATTTAAGAATAAAAATTTTCCTTCCTGTGAGGATAACTAACTGTAAGCATTGATAACAATACACTAGATATGATGGCAGTGCGAGAAATTTACGCGTTCCTAAACAAACTCTCCCAAATTTATTGCCCTTCTTAAAAGGAAAGGTTTCCGCATGTGAGTGAGGGGACTTTATTTGAACGTTTCATGTTCTCATGAGTTCGTATTTCTAGGAAAATAGAGTATTGCAAGGTCTGCTTATTGTTAAACTAAAACGTTAAGAATTCTAAGTTTTTTTCCCTTTAAATTGTGGTTCAGTTCGATAAAAAGAAGTACCGGAGCTCATCTTATTTAGGGCTCCGGTGCACTCCGGCTAAAATTGTAATTTATCTTAAAAATTGAGAAGTACCTGTGGGCTCCGGCGCAATTTAAGCACTGCCTGTCTTCCTGTGGAATGGTGCAACAAGATGGTTGCAGCTGCTCCCGACTGTCAGTCGTTTATTCCTGCATCCACTGATTCCGTATTCGCATGACTCTCTCTTGGCTATGTTTGCTTGATGGTGCATTTACTGGAAGGGTGATCCACAATCTCTGTATGCAAGGATTCTGGCTTGGTTGAACTCAGAAACTAGCTCGCATGATGCTTGTATTTTTCTATGAGGCATACTGAAGCTGCACACACGAAAAAAATCTCATGAGAGACCAATTCATGTTATTCAAAATGACAATATTTCCTCCTTTCATGTACATATTGTAAGGAGCGCTGCAATCACCTATGTTATGTGGGTGTACCTTTCAGTACACCCACATATCATTATGGTATATGCATGATTATTATTTCATTATGGTATATGCATGATGCAAGTTTCATGCTGTTTGGATGCTTCATGATGCTGCATTTTGGATGGCCAGCATTTTATATGGTGTATATTCCCTTGCATAAGGTGAGAATTTTTGGAATTTTTTCTAAAGCTAAATTACATGGATCGGTTTATATGCGGAAATGCTTATCTTGCAAAAAAGTACTTTACCATTAACCAGGGGCAAGTAATAAATTGCTAAATATAGTGCTTTAGTTTAGTGCTATATTTAGTTTATATTTCTATCTTTATATTAAGTTTATGAAAACCAATTTGTTTTAATGAAATGAATTTATCATTTTGTGAAAATGAGTTGTTTTATTTTTGAAATTTTTTATATTTCTGGTTTGTCATCTTGTTAAAATAAAAAATTTGATGTTGCTGAAATTTGTGCCTGGTAATGGAAAATAATCACATGCTGCCTTTTTGGATTTTGGCATCTCCACTAATTCAGGGCATTTTGTGCTCCACTTTCAAACTTGTTTTTTACTTAGAAGAAATGCTGTGCAGCCATACTGTTAGAATTCTCAGCGAATGTAATTATTGGTAGTTTGAAATTTGCTGCATAAGAAATTCCCTTCCTGCTTATGCTTCGGACCAAAAAAAAAAAAAAAAAAAAAAAAAAAAAAAAAAAAAAAATTAAAAATAAAAAGTGGCACAGAAGATACCATAAATCTATAGTGATTTGATTGGATAATATACCACCTCTTTCACCTGCTTGGCAACATTTTCGCCTTTATCAGAACATGTTTGAACACTGCAGGATTATTTTTTCATTTTGACTTATATACGGGTTTTGAATTTTGGGTAAACTTTTTGAAAAAAAAATGCACTTTAGCCTAATATACTGATTTGCTTACATTTGGTCCATTCTTATGTTTTTTTTTGATTTAAAATGCAGTTTATTGAGGGCATAATTTTTTATGTTTTAATTATGTTTTATTACGTTATGTTTGGACGTCATTTTACTTGGGAGGGCATTGTACGTATACAGGAATAGCACCAAAAAAATCAGCCATTTTCACTAAGGAGTACCCTGAAGTATATTTTTCCCACAAAAGGAAACAGATAAAATGCAATACCTGTAAATGCAATTTTTCTCCTGAGTGAGATTCCTGCATATCCCTTGTGTCGATAAAATAAGTACCAAGTTTGCTTGGGGACTAAACACTGGGGCTCCTGCGACAAGCTGACCACTTGTTCAGAGCATATGCTGATGCACCCGGGGCCCATGGTGAAGAAAACAGATTTTGGGGCACTGCAGGCCTTGGCCTATTAGGGCTGTTTGCGCCACTGAGTTTAGTTTAGAGATTCCTGCATGCCACATGCAAATGCCTGGTGCATAGGGAATTACAGGTTGTCCAATGACAATTAATTATTGACATTATCTTCATATTGGCCAGGATCACTCTTTCAGCCCTTGGGTGGCTGAATTTATCTGACTTGAACAATAAGTGAAGCCCCAATGTCGTCATCTTATTAAACCAATGATCTAAAATATGGACATTTTTGGAATCTATGAACTTGTGATGATTCTTGAACTTTGTACTATGTGTGTGTATCACATATATATATCAGAAAAGTATTACATGTATATATGTAATATTTTACTGTGAACAGAGTGCCACTTAGTACAAACATAAACATTAGCATGACATCTAACTAAATGGTAACCTTAACAATATGTAATGAAAAATACTGAACTTCTAATAAAAGTAATATATCATAATATATAGTGTTTAATGTGTGCAATGCCGAATTTGTGCAATTCTAGTATTTTTTAAGCAAAAACAGATTGCTCTGTACATGGGAAGAACTGTTTTTCCTATCAGCCTTGCCAATGCACACATTAAACATTTCACAGCTGTTCATGATGTGATATAAATAGGCCTTCACATCTGGCAACTGGCACCCTGTTAACAGAAAAATACCACAATAGGGATACACACACACATATATATATCACAAATATTGAGCGTTCAAGTTTTGAAGACCTTCATTGTCAATAGAATGCTACATGAAGTTGCCTCTGGATGTGAAGTGTCTTACAGTAGAGCAGAGTTTTTTAAACTTTGGGTTGCCAAAAATCTTACAGTTTTGATATTTCTTTAACTTATTATATTGTAATAATTTTGCAATTACCAAATATTTTCACATAATGTATCTGAAAATAGATAAAGATAAGACAATACAGACAAGAAAAAGCGAAAACATTTTGACGCATTCTTTTTATAATATAAAAGTTCATTTTACTTGCTTTGCACGTGGCGCTGTCATTTCATCTGTTACTTATTTAAATTTTTCACATTGCTCTATGTCTTAAAATTAGAAATTAAAGTTGATGACCTAAAACTGCAATAGTATATTGTACTACAAGTTAAAAAATTTACAGTTTCGCTCATGCGTGTGTTGGATTTGTGCAATGCTTATGAGGTCCCACAAAATTTTCGTGAATGATATTCGTGCCCTGTGGCTGTAAAAAAAAAAAAAAAAAAAAAAAAAAAAAAAAAAAATCTCGATAATAAAAGGGGGTCGCGACTGAAAAAAGTTTAAGAAGCCCTGCAGTAGAGGAACAATAATTGGTTAAAAACGATTATAGTGTTTCTAAAAAAATAAAATACCATATTATTACATAGAAAATATATTTTACATGTTATATATTTTACAATTATAGTGTATTTTAAAAAATAAAATAGCATATTATTGCATAGAAAAAGTAAATTTTTCTTATTTACCTTGTTAAAAATTACTTAAAAATGCTGACTCCCAACCAAAGAAAGGAAAAAAAAAAAAAAATGCAAATCCCATATTTATTGAAAGTAGTGAGGGTGAGAGATTTTTCAAAATATAGGGATTATTTTCTTTCCTTATGTGCATGAAAATTACTTTAATGCTTAGTTCAAGAAAGTATTATCAGCTTGTCATTTATAATTATATGGCATACTAACTTCTGTGAATCAGCATATTATTTAACTGTGCAGATTTAACACCATTTGAAATATACTAGTTACTTGTGCGGTGAAATGCAAGAGCATATTTAAGGGAGGGAAGTCTGGTGAGACCCTGTACATTTAAGTACTATTTGCACAATTCTGAGGAAATTTATGCAAAGGTGTTCATAAAAATTGTGCTAGTAAGTTAATTAAAAACATTTTTAGTAACTTATTAGCATATATTTTAATACTGATATTTTCAAATCTAACTTTTTTAAAAAAAAATATTTTATACTTTAGGTGGCGCTTTAAGTATTGAACTAACTTTAAAACAAGGAAAATGGAATTTCAAGAGTAGAATATTGAGTGGAAAGCATATAAATTATGTGTACCTTTGTAGAATTATTTGTAATACAAAAGAAAGTTGTATAGACTGGCTTAGAGAGAAAAATCTTATTCCTGCTACTATGGTGTGTCCTTCATGTGGCTCAGAAATGAGAAGCAAAAATATTTCACGCCTCACAGATGGAGCTGTGTGGACTTGTCCCAATATTATGGTATGTTCTTTCTTTTATTGTATATTAAAAGGGGGGAATTGAAGAATAAAACTGCTAAGAAAAATTTTATTTCAGATCTGTATTTTATTACTTGTATTGCATTTTCAGCATTTCATATTATTTTACCTTTTGGTCCCCCAAAAGAGACTAACTGAAATAAGTACTTTTGATAAATTATGTTCCAAAGTTGGCCAAAATTTAAATTCTGTGGTGTCTTTCATACTTTTTCCCTAAACTATAAATTGAAAATTACATAAAAGTGTATAGAATAACCAATTTTGTGAAATATTTAGGAAATGGGAATTTAATATTATTTAAAAACATTGTCACTGATTTTTTTCCACTCTGATCAGTAGCTTGCATATAATTTATAATCTGATCTTTTAATTATTTATTATATACCAGCGATTCTCAACCTTTTGACTTATGCATATCATCTAAACAAAAATTATAAAACTTTAGTACCATTGCTATGTTTTACAATAATTATTTTTTGATTTCTCATAAATTATTTTAAAAAACATATTTTGCCATTTGCACAATTTATTTGCCATTTGTATTAAATATGCACACATAAAAATATTAGATTAAAAATTGGTTAACTTTTCAGTTATCAGAATTTAAGGTATAATTCATTAATTCTATAATTTAGTATAAAATTTGGGCCTGTTTAAGAGAGATCACTCATGCATTTCACAGCTGTTCATGATGTGGTATAAACAGGCCTTCACATCTGGCAAGTGGCACCCTGTTAACAGAAAAATACCACAATAGGGGTACACACATACACACACATATATATCACAAATATTGAGAGTTCAAGTTTTGAAGACCTTCATTTTTGAAATATAACATGGAAGAAAATCCTTGTTCACACAAATAAGTTGTGCAAAAAAAAAAAAAAAAAAAAAAAAAAAAAAAAAAAAAACAATAAATGTTTAATAGCTTTATTTGAAATGCCTTTAAATTCTTTTTTTCAGTTCAGCCAAAAGTTAACAAGTGTGTAATTTTTGAAAACTATAGTTAGAGTTCAATTGCAGGAAATTTCTATCAATTGTTCTTTTTCTTCACAAGATAAAATTTCAAGTACATTTGAACAAAATGGATTTCTAACCCAATTTTCTTTTTTATAATCCCTGGGAAAATACATGTTGAATTTTTTTATCAATGAAAAACAATGATTTTTAATGTCAGATGCTTTTGTTTTCAAATTATTTTTGGTTAGAAAACTTTCTAAAAGTGGTAAAAAGCTCAAAATATTATTATTCAATTCTTGGATTATTAGCTCAAGTTTTTTTTTATCATTGCACTTATTTGATCTCTAATGGTAAACAGATTAACACTTTGTCCTTGTAATCCTAAATTTAATTCATTTGACTTACAAAAATATCAGCTAAATATGCTAAATGTGCCAACCATAATTCCCTAAATAAATATTTTTGCAGTTCAAATTTTGAATCACAGAGGAAAATTTGAATTTCTCATCGAAGTTCAAAAAGACGATGTAAAACTTTGGATAGCCACCTTACTCTGGAATGTACAAAAGCATTTCATGTCCACTGCCTATCTCTTGGCACAAAATCATAAATATTCTTAAATTTAAAGCTTGGCTTTTAATAAAATTAACAATTTTCACAGTTTGATTCAAAACAGTTTTACGTTTTTCAGGGATTGTTTTGTATACTAAAGCTTCATGGTGAATGGAGCAGTGAGTAAATTTAGTTTCAGGTGTGACTTTCTTTATTTGAGAAATAACACTGGGATATTTTCCTGTTAAAGCCCAAGCTCTGTCACTGCATATGGCAGTGCACTTATTCCAAGGAATATCATTCTCAGATATAAAATTGTCAATTACTTTGAAAATTTTATTTGCAGTGCTCTATCATGAAGAGATTCACAAAATAAATACTCTTTGGCAATTTGTTTATCTTCTTCGAAACATATGTAAACTAATAATGAAAAAAGTTCGTTTTATCAGTACTTTCATCCAATTGCAATGAGAAATACTCACAGTGTTTTATTTTTTGAATAAGTGTCTCTTTTAAGTTCATTAGTCACCTTTTTCATTGAATAATATTAAAACGATATCTTTAGCTGCTGGTAATATAAGGTTTTCTCCAATAGTGTGAATCTGCCCAGTCCTGGCAATTCTTAGGCTACTAAGTAACTAGCTTCCAAAGCTTTTTCACTTGAAGTAAAAAAATCTTTGATTACTTGTTTACGATTTACTTTGATTACTTGTTTATTACTTGGATAATTTCCTCTTAAAATACTCTTCAGATTTATCCTTTAAACTGACATCCTTAGATTCAAGAAGTCTTTTAAGAAATGATGGTTTCATACTTTGATTGGAAAATAGTTCACTACAAATAACACATTGAGGTTGAGGACATATTTCATCTCCATTCAAAGTAAGCCCATGTGATAAATAATTTTCATTATATTTTCTATAAACGATTTTTCTTTTGTTTTCAGTATTCCTAGTGCTAGTAGTTTGTCCTGGATCCAACACCTGTGAATCATCACTTTTCCACTTAGTCAATCCTAGCCATTTTTTGATTTTGAAAATCTAGGTTTGTTTTATTATTTTTCAAAAATATTTAAATGTGCAATATATTACAAGTTCTTCAAAACAAATGACGACATTGTCAAATCATGTAGAAAAGTAAGGAATACAAAGCAACAAGAAGACAAAATACATGCTGTTAGATATAGCAAATCGATGTAAAAATATGATTCTAATTAAAAATAGAGCAATATGAGCCCAAAAATGGTGGCAACATAAAGTGTAGACATGCTAATAAATTGATCAACTCTAAAAGAATTAAGATACTATTATCTTTTATAGGAACTTCTTTTTATTATTTCCTATTAAATTCAACATCCATTTCTATTACTCCTTTTAAAAACATCATTTATGACAAATGTTATCATGTATATGGCTAAAAGAATATTTGTGAAAATAAAAACGGATTATTATGCTAAAGTCTATGAGCAGCTGTTTATTTTAAACAAAGCTCAGATCGCATAAATTTTTGAGTGTTAGAGAAAAATCTTAAACAGGATACTGGGATATTTAATTTTTGAATTTAATAATTAAATTACTTTCTTTCTTTGCATACTACCGGTTGAGAATCGCTGCTTTAGATTATTATATAATTTATTACTATCATTTCTGAAATAAAATTGTAAGCACTTCTGCAACATATTTTGTATATTAAGAATTTTCCATATCTTCCCCCTATTTATACTAGTGGCAATAACCCCAAATCCTCTCCTGCTCTTCCAAAGAAAGGCAAGCATTAACATATTCCGGATCAGAAGTAAGGACATCAAGTGCCATTAGACATCTACCCGACAAAGAACTGCCACTAGCCAAGTTGTCATTGGCCTGATGATTAAAAGTTTTGATTTTGAGAATTTAAAGTAGAGAAGTGCTATTTCATTGAGAAATGATGCCTATTTTCATTAAACTTTTAAGGTCTTTGGTCATTGCCATTCACATTTCATTTCTTCCACAAAGTTGTAGTATAATTTTTGGTAGGTTTTTGCAGATTTGCATTAAAATGTACATATATGTGGGGAAAATTATTTATATTTCAAGTAATCCTATTTTATATTTTAAAAGTTTTCATTTTTTCGTAATTGTTTAAATTAAATAACATATTAAACACATTTATGTTAACAACAGTATTTTATGTTGACTAAAATAACATTATTTAGTGCTCATGAAATGGTTAGATAGTTAAATAAGTTTTATTAGCATTAACAAGCTGTGGAATGAGTTCCTCAGCTAATCTATAGTTTCAAGAAGGGGGGAATATTATTATTCTGAATCAGAGGAGACTCTCCATCCCAACAGTAACCCATTTTGTCTTCCCCACATCCCTATCGCCAGTCAGGGCTCTTCATAAAGGTAAACTACTGTTATTTATCAGTGTTATTTATTAGAAAAATTTATTTTTATGTTGATATTTTTTGAGATGTGGAATGAATTAACTGGATTTCCATTATTTTCGATGGGGAAGTTTGTTTCTAGATACGAGAAATTCGCTATATTAGTCAATCCTGGAATGAATTAAACTCATATCTTGAGGTTCCACTGTACTAGATCTCGATCTACTTGAACATTTATGGAACCATCTAAGGAGAATGATAGCTGCATTATCTTTCCCAAGATCATTACAGAAATTAACATTCAAATCATCAATGGACTTTGATTTCAAGTAGAATGTCTGATAACTAAATTAGCAGCATGGATAGTTTGCATTCATGCCAGAGGTGGACATCTTTCATATTGTTTATTTTTTAATGGTATTTACTGAACACTTTAGTCATTTATCATTAATTGTGTGATTTTTTTTAAAACAACACTTTGTAATTTTCGTCTTCATCAGAAATGCAAAGTGTTTAAGCTTCACAAAGTACAGTAAATTATTATAATCTTGCTTGTCTTAACAGCGATGGCCTAAAACCTGTTTATTCCTTATATTTTGGAAGGCAGTATGCTGGATGATTACTTTTAAAACTCCCATTTCAAAAGGGTGTGAAATAAGAGCTGCTGCTTTGAATGATTTAAAAAATCTTGCATAAATACTGGTGAAGCAATTAATTTAATTCAGTTATGGAGGGAGGAATGTTTTGCCACTTATTATGGTAGAAGATAATACATAAAGAGCAAAATTTACGAGTGATCTAAGAAATGTTCCTTATGCTGTTTTTTTTTTACATTCTTATATAAGTTGAAAAGCAAAACAGCATTGTGGTAACCAGAACGAATTCACTTTTTATGAGGATCACATGTGCAGATGTATAACATCTACATATTTTTTCTGTTTTAAAAATAGTTGCATTTAAAAATTTATAGAACAAAAAATGGCATGAACAATAAATGTTGGTTTTCTTAAAAGTGTTTGTCTCAGTTTTTTGTACGTGGTAATATTTCCTTAAGAAACAAATTTGGCATCCCTGTACTGGGGCATCAAATCAACACATGATTA